GGTAAATAGATAAAAAATTTTACCTAAAATAAAATTTATAAAGTTTGATTTTTAAAAATCCTATTATTATTATAATCCTAAAATAATATTTTTACATACTAATTATTAAAATTTTGTATAGTATTAATTTATTATACATAATACGAGTATAATAGTTATGTGTACGATATTTAATTACACTACTTAAACTTAGTCAGCTAATCAATCCTGATTCCTGATTCTAAAAAAGAAGGAAATTCAATTTTACGATTGTATTTGATAATGTAAAAATCATGCATATAATTTAGTTCATCTTTGAAAACCGGAAGTACAATTAATTTGCCTCAATAATTCGGTTACACCCGCAGCAAAATTATCTCGCACACAATTCGACTCGAATTTTAATTTCAACACGAAATTCGTATACAGCCTAAATAATTAATATCATTAAGTAAGAATGTAAAATCTTGTACGAGTCATCGGTAATCACGAAAACATTACGGTCTGCAGATAATAGTACATATAGCCATGATTTTTGATATTATAATACGGTTAATATGCTGCATATTATATTATATACACATTACAATATATTATAATATATAATATTACAATATCGTATATTTATTGTAATGAAATATTATTATGACGTGGTGTTGTTCCCACGAATTCAGTTGATCGAAATGTTTGTACACTATTCCATCGCACCCGTGGCAGCGCTAATCTGACCGGAAAACGTCTGACGAGAAAATTGCCGTGCAACCATGTCAATACAATAATATCATTATCTATTGTATATAGTACACTCGTGTTTATTAAACTGTTCTCCAAAAAATGGCAATAGGTATGCGCTATAGCCCAATACATACCGCGACCTTAAAATATTTTTCGCGTAATACTAATGAAATCGTGTTGATTAAATCATATACTAATTTAATATAACACGACATGAATCTAATGTAGGCACCTATAAAATATAAAAAGTTGAAAAAGTACAAAAACACAATAGAAATCCACTTGTAGGGTAGATATCCACTATCGACCTGATGATTGTCACGCTCGTGTCTGTATTTCTACAGTTTATCTACCATAATACTACCGAAATCGTTATTTGTTTATCACATAAAAATAATATTTGACGATGTCTAGACTTACGAAAATAGGATTTCGATAAAGGAAAATGCATACACTAAATAATACGTTACGTGTAGTAACGTACGTGAGTAAAACGCCTCAATCGAGTTGTATTACTATAGTTATAATTATCAAACGTAAACCACTATTATTTTGATGAATTCGAAATTAGTCAAAAACGCTGTGTGTAAGCGGGCGCTCGTATAATAACAGAGCTTAAAACGAATAATAATATAATGTACAAGTCTCGGTGCAACCTTCGCGCGCATACATTACTGCTTTTTTTCTTAAACGACACACAGCAGCTACAATTAATCCTTTTCCAACGGATCCGGTCTCCCGTGACCAATTTTATTCGTATACGGCCGCTGCATCGTGTTCGTTACTTAAAAATTATAATACTATTACTACAGACTTTGCAGTTTTATGATTTATTAATAAATGTTCCATTGCACTGCATATATAATTTATTACGGGACCGGAGTTTTTGAAATTATCCGTACCTACGGTAATTAATCCAGTCGTGGATCCGGCCCATTTGCCACCAAACGCGTGGCTCTCATAAGTTTATTACATTTTAGATATTATGATGTGTTTGTATAACATACGAGACTTGCCGCTCGTAAAACATTAACATATAGGTAGTAATAATGCAATAATGATAATAATACCAGATATAGGCACATTATATATTATTATGCTTCAGCACCGCCTTGCGCAAATTTATATTACGCTCTAATTAGGTTAGGTAACTGTATATATATAGTATATGATCCATACTTTTATAAGTCTCATGTGCTCTTCTCGCACCCGAATCACTTGCGTCAATCGACTGATATTATAACACGTGATTTATATAAAATATATAATAATATATGATATCATGTACACTCGTTTATATCACGGCCGAAAATTACAAAATATACAGTCCTGTAGCTATGATCGGATGTTTTTCCGATGACTCGGTTTAACAATATTTAACTTACTGTACATAATAATGTTATATACTTATACGTCATAAACTGTATATATAAGTGTTAAGGACGTCTATAGCTATGTAATAGTAATATAATATAGTAATTCTGGTAAAGAAAAAAAAACGTTGATTCAAAGCATTATTGATTTTGACGGTCATTATATTAGAATATATATTCAATACTTTGGTTTAGGTATTCAAAACTCCAGTTAACAACATAATACGACCTGTATTATATCGATAATAACCGTATTTTTTTATCTGTGATACATTTATATAATATTATAATATTATATATACAAGTGCAACGTTTCAAAACAAAAAATCCAATACACCATTTTCCTAGAATATATAATATGAGTGTGTGATTACTTTTATAATATATATGTGGAATAAATATTTGATTGTACATATTATCCATATTTGGTTTTCGTCGTTAAAATTATAAGAAATTAGTTGTTATTGTATAAATTATATTTTATAGGTGCTCTACCTTTATACATATGTTAATTTTATAGGTTTTGTGTAGAATGTATTTATCTTGAACTTGTTATAGAGATATTATTTATATTGGTACAAAAAAGAAATATATATTTAACCCATCATTTGTTTTAATAAGTAAAATATGTCATCTAAATTATTAGATTTTAGTTAATTACAAATACTTTGTGAAATTTTTCGTGGTAATCATAAACTAAAAATAGTTAGAAACTATTCTCGTTCTCATAACTATTCGGAGATTCCACCACTAATGATTTTTGCAACTGCTAGACAATTTTAGACCTACTTTTTAAAAAGATTTAAAAATATATCTAATTTATTATAATAAGAGATAAGACTGAATAATCTAATATAATTTTAAAGTAATATATGGAAACGGAACCTAAAAACCAACCGGAAATCACGGAGACGACGTTGTCTGTGTTACATTAACTTAATCATTTTTCAAAATCTTAATAACAATTGTTCTTTAACCGTACTATTTGAAATTGGATCACTGCAACCAGCCTTATTGGAAATAGACTACGATATACATTTAACGTTGTTTTCGGACATTAGACGCATTATATATTATGTTATTTATATCATTGTATAATATAAGACAATTTTATATGTATACATACATATATTGTAGTAGTCGACATGAATTATACCGATGTTTATATAATGATAATATTTTATACAATAATACATTTAAATGTTCAATTCAATTAATTGTATGGCTCAAGAAATCCACCATTGTTTTAAAGTTAGTTCAATCGTTTTAATAGATCGGTATCACAACGAATATTTTTATTGTAATATGAATCGTATTGGATTACATAAAATACCAAATGTATAATATGATAATGATAACAACAATATATACCAAGACGAGCAATGTGGGTCTTGCAAACCGTTTAGCGCACTTATACCGATCGAAGAGACTTTAACGAACCATGAAAACGTACATAACATGCATGCGTGTATAGTTCATGTAATATATTATCGTACACACATCGGTAACGTGGATATAACAATACTGAATCGTTACCAATAAGATGCTTACGACTATATATTTTTAGTATTTTCTTAGATGAATTACAAATTTATAACGTAATCGTTCATATTTTGGTCGAAATATCATACTATAACTTCTCAGAAAAACAAATATACCTAAAGAATAATCACTAGTAGTTTAACCTAGTTTTTCAACCAGAACAGCAATTTTGATTTGTACGCTTCAAATATTACGATTTTATTGAACTTTTAATCTTGTAAAATAAATATATATATATATATAAATCATTATTGAATATTGATTGGTTAGACGCAATGATGATAAACCACTATAAAAATATAAATGTTATAGTAGTATTCCTATAAACTTAGAACACACATACAGCCAAGTTATTTTTCTTAATTTCTTAGCCAAGTGATTAAATTGAATATTATTTTATATAATCACGTTTAAAATGTTTTTATAAATAAAAATAAAAACTATAGGAATTAGTTTAAATAATTTCACGAAATTATTTAAGACGAACAAAACTCATTAAAATATAATTTGAACTAATTTCTCGAATTCCATAGATAAAATTGTACTTAATTTTCAGATTCGTGTTATATATATCGTATTTTAGTGTTATATTACAATGAAAATTTAAAAATCAAACGTGGGAACCCCGATAATTGAATCGCCCAAACGATAATAACAGAATGACGCTCTAATCACAATTTAAAAAAAAATTATATTGTGTTGAGAATATATGAATCTTTAAATTTAATAATCATTGACGTAATATTACTTTTGGTGTTTGAATTAATGGATACTCTAGTAATTCTTATTCGCTACCTAAATAAAAATAAAAACCATCAATAACTGGTTTCTAGATCAATCGAAATATATACAATATATATATATATATATATATATATATATATATCATTATCATTAAGAACATCGAAATAGGCACAGTTATAATATTTTCAATTAATTGGACATGCGTTTTGAGAGATCAATAATTGGCTTAAAACGAATAGACGAAAATTTTTTTTTGACTTTACCCACGAATGAAATGATTTCGCTCGTTCACCGGTAATCGATCGTTACTGATTAATCTTTGCTGCATCCATCACTCACAAAAACAACAACGATTACAACAGTGGCGCGTATATTATATGATTATATATTTTGGTCGATGTACCTGTACAGTAGTAATAAGTGCGAATTTGCTCGATCGACGGTAACCGATCGTAACCGGGCCGCAGGATCATTCGGCATATTAAATCTTTACATCTATTACGACGTCAACGAACAACCCACGAGGCGTTATTTATTGGCGTAAGACCAACGCATATTCGCGGTCGATCGGTGCACGCAAAAACATTAAAAATCGAGGAAAACAAAAATTTTTAATTGTCCACTCACCTTGAATACCGCTACCATCAACAGGACGACGGCGCGAAAAGCGGTGCCATCCATTTTCGGGTGAGCGGCGGTAGTAGCTGAAAAATACTCGAGCGCCAGTGGTTTCGGGGACGACGAGAGAACGAAAAGAATCCCGCGAAGGATTTACTATGTGCGAGTGGAAACGACGACGTGTCTACACTCGACGACGTAATAATAAAATACTTATTAGGCACTGTTAGGTATTTATGTTACGGTGACGATCGTGCCGGCCGATCGTGTGAGATATTCGTTCTGTTTGAAAACGGACGCGATTCGAGAAAATGTTTATCGGTTTTCAATATTTCTGCCTTAGTGTTTATCACACGATCGAACGCGAAATCCGCGGAGAGACGACACGACGGCGACGAATAACCGACAACGACGGTGTTTGCGGTTTGGGCGCGACGGACGTTGTGGCGTGCGGAAGACCCGACCAACGGTGCCTTGTGCGATAGTTTCGCCGCGACTCGGAAATGCGCGCGTGGTGTGGAGTGGTCGCAGCCGTCGCACTATCTCCGCTGTCACGGGCCAGCGAATCAACGAGCGTTCCTTGTTCGTTATTACTATAACTATAACGTTTACTATTACTATTCCTGTTGCCTGTCTTCTTGTTTGCGCGCCGCTGACAGTAGCGGTCGTTGTTGTCGTTAAACCGTAGGATAACAATAATACGCATGCACGCATAGGATATCCCTATGACCAATTTGTACGGTAAAATGTTGGCTGAGAGTCTATAATATAGTTACCGTGATCGTTAAACGTGGTAGTGGTAATCACTGCACGTTTATGATAAAGGAAAAATTGTATCGACAGTCCGCTGTAGGTATATACCTATACCTATATAATTTATTTCACTGTAAAGTTCTATCTGACAATTTTTTTGTGTGTCCCTTCGAAAATTTGCTGTTCATGCCTAAGTGACTATGAATTTAATTGATTGAATATTTAGGTTTAAATTTTTTAACAGCTGCGGAAATTTTCTGAAAAAAAAATTGATTGACAATGCAAAAAAAAAAAATGTAAATAATTGTATTATAATAAAACTATCATATTGTATAAAAATTAATGAAATTGATAAAAAAAATAAACAACGCTTAGAAACCTGTCAAATCACATTGAAAATAACTATAAAAACAAATCAAGTCACTTTGCAGTAAAGTAGGTATTTTGTGTTTTTGTATACCTTTTATTGAGTAGGCTAATGTAATGAAGTGGTCAAAATTAAATTTAAATGATAGATTGATAAACTATTTCATACAAAAAATAATTCTAAAAAAATTTAGTCAGTTGGCCTATAGTCTATACTTCCGGTAATATTTTATTATTAATGTATATATTGCTATGATAGGTTGAACTATTTTTTTCTAAAAACAATTTTTGTATTAAATAATATACTCTATACTTATTACTTATATATACTATGATATAATAGTAGGTATAAGGTTGAAGATTTATTATACATAGATGTATATTTGAACGCAATAATACCAACTACTGCTTGACCAATTTCAATAAAAGTTATTAATATTTATAATATTTGCATTACATAATGTATCAAAATAAAATAATATGCCTGAAAATATGAAATAAATATAATATAGAAGTTACTATTTGAAATTTTATCAGGCTGTGATAACTTAAACATGCATATACACACACACATATATATATGATTGCAAGTATATAATATGTATAGAGCAACCATAAATTAAATATATATATAAATGTATAATAACATTAAAAATACCATGGGCTTAAATAAATGTAATATGTAGCTTAAGAATAAGTACAATGATAATAATTGATAACTATATTTTTAACATCGTTTTACATATCATTGATAATTTGATGTGAGTTGGAACTGAGTGTTTTTGTCAGAACTTGAAAACACGCAGGATGACCATGAATGGACATCTGACACATGAAACACATGTATCAGTTAGTTTCTATGATTTTGAAATAGAGTATGAAATTTCTACAAACCAAACATGATCGTTTAATGTAAGTCATAGTAGGCATAACTGCATAAACACTCTCTGCTAGGAGAGCAAGTACTTAGACCAGCGAGTATTTGTCAGATGCAGTATCACAGAGCTTGTAACAACACTAACAACACTTCTCTGGCTAATATATTACTATTGTCATTTAGTATCATTCGGACTTATAAATATTTTGAATAAAATAAAAATTTTAAATATTTTACTTAATTTTGTTAGAGTTATTTTAAACTTCATTACAACTGGGTGTTCGAAACAAAATATAGGATTACGATTACCTAGTTATTAATTTAAAAAAATTTTAAATTAGAATTAAATGTGATGAAGATATTAGATTAATGCATTCAATTAATCACCAATAAATGCTGTGTACATTTAATATAAGTCATAAATGAATTTTTTTTTCTAGACTATTATTGACAAGTAATTGTTCTCAAGTATAACTATTTTCACATTATAAATTGCACTCGATTTAATATACTCTACAATTTACATCTTATTCGATTAAATAAGCCCTCGATAATACTATATGTCCTTTTTTTTTATCTTGAGGAAAAACTTTTTAATTAAATGTATACTATTTTCAAACGAAATCGTGTATAGTAAAAATAATTTCAACTTATTTAGATTACCTCCAAAACAACAAAACCTTCATTTTTTTCAACTAGACAGCTATGTATTTTTCTATAAATAATCGGTGGTTATGTCATTTTGTTTGCAGAAATAGGTAATCTGATCTATTATAATAATATCATACATATTTTAATTAATTCTAAAATTCAGTTTACGTCAATGTCATGTTATTTACAATTAACAGTTGTTGGTATGGAAATATTAATGACATGGTTTATTTACAGATTGAATAATATATTTATTCAACTTTAACGTAATTTCGTGAATACAGGATACGAGTTAATGTTTTTTTGAATTTAATCTCCCGAATCTTCTTATCTGTTTTCCTATACTAACATTCCTAAGTTTTTTTGTTTTTAAATTGAATATTCCGTAAACATAGTCATTCAAAAATTGTCTTTATCATAAAATTGATTTATTAAAATGATTTATAACAGACAACCAAACTGACAACATAAGTAGGTACCATAAAATATAATAAACAAGTCACTAAAAAACGATATATCAAAATATTATTGCAATGGAATTTTAAAAAATAAGTAAAAATTAACCCTAGAAAAATCGACAAACCTATTGACCTAAAATATAATGCATAATACATTATGGAAAATTGCTACGTTTTCAGTTTTTCGTGTCACAACTAAATGTATTTACGAGCATCATTCGAGTATAATTTCCGATGTACCTTCAAATAAATGAAATATTATTTTTAATTTAGCTAAATTGTTATAAATAACTAGTACAATTTATTTGCAGAAAATGTATACTTTTCAGGGAAATATTGTCAATTTCCATCGGTACCTATACAATATATTATATCCAAATCGCGTGTGCTGGTTCTTAATTCTTATCCTATTTGAAATATCTACAAGAAAATTAAAAAATATTAATTCAACACTTATAATATATTCATTTGTCAACATTTTCATACTTATTTTCGACAATACTCAAAAGTGAGTTAAACCGACTATACGGTTACTATAATATCACATTCTAATTTTATTAAAGTTATTAATAAATAATCGTCTTTAAGTCATTTATTTTTTATTTCATTTTTTATTGTAAATGAGGTGAAGCCTTTGCCTGTGTGATTATTTGTACGAGCCGCAACTGATATATCTATAAATAATTGTAATATGTTTAAGAAAAACAATGTGATTTTTTAATTTTCATTAACTATAAGGATATTTAATAATTTATACAAACCCTATTATAGCTTAACAAACTTTATAATAAGTAAAAAATGTTAATAGTAACATGTAAAACTGTAAAATATATGCAAATTTGTCAAAATTACACGGAAATCTTACACAATTTAATACTTCATCTGAATATGTTCATAAACTATATTAATAATAAATAATACATATCATATTTTTAAATCATTAACTTAAAAAACCTTCATTTTTCACAGACGTTTTTAAAATATTAATCCGTAATTAATTCTTTAAAAACTTTTAAATGTTTTTGTTAACTAAAAATGAATTTAGTAGGTAGATAAAACATTAAATATTTAAATACTATGATAACATGCAATTATTTCTATTTATTTTCTATTCAATTATTCATTCATTCATTATAAACGAAATTCATGTACAATTATTTAAATTACTGCAATGTAACATGTGTTTTCGCGGATTATAAAAAAATAATTATCATGATGTTATAATGTACATACTATAAATACTTATATACATCACTATTCACTTTTACATATTATTTTCATTTTTATCAAAATGTAAACATAAACTAGTAAAAAAATGTATTTAATGTAATATTGTATGCTATAGATAATTATTATTGAACTCAAATTAATTTTTGGTGATATTAAAACAGTAAATTATTTAACGCTGTTGCCGATGCTCACGGAAAGAGTGGATGATTTAATACACATTTAAACTACGTTCGATAAAAATGAATACAATATTTCATGCTATTGAAGAATATAATAGTATACATAAAAGTACTAATACCTTATTATTATATCTATAATATCTCTAGTTAGGTTTGTCGTACAGCGTTTAATATCGATAATATTGCCGTTCGTTTAACATTCTTTAACTCTTTTTCAGACTTGTGGAGACCAAACAATATGACGTACACTATACAACGAAAACCGTTGTATTTTTTCAAAAAAAAAAAAAAAAAGGAGGAGTATGAGGAGGAAAAAAATCTCGAGTGAGGTGCTAAAATAGATTAGTTCCATAACGTGTTAGCGGTGTTTATTTAATATGTAAATGAACTGTGGTAGCAAAATACGTGTGAAACAATTGTGATACTGCAACGTCGCGGCGTGTATACAAAATAACATGTATACCGCTACCCGACAAATGTAATGTCACTGGTATTGTGCAGTGTATACACAACACTATAGTGTCCGAGTCTTATTCTTTTTGTTTGCGCGCGAAATGTCGTTCGTCATTTTGCCGTGTGCTAATAGAACAAACGCGAATTTTACCCATATATTACAACGTCTTCGTTGAAATACGTTTTGAGTATCATGTTTGTGCTTTAGAACGCGCCCGTGTATTGCATCAACCAAACGTTTTAATTCTTAACGATTTTTTTACGGTTACATCCACTTTTCGCACATTTAATAAAAACAACGGGTTTCCGAAATTTTGTACAACTCTAGTCTCCAATGCTCAAAAAAAATTAACAATAGGGACCCAGTTTTATCTGAAAATCGAAATTTAGTTCATATGTTTCTTCTTACTATGTCACTATGCCTACTAACGATGTGCATAACACATTTGCAAAACTCATATCAATTTCTCGTATAGATATTAGACCCAGACTTCATTGATTATAATTGAAATAATTATATTA